TGGAGGCGAGGGTAATAATATAAGGTAAAGATAATAGGTAGAAAGTGATAAGACTGATGAGCAAAGACATAGACGATCAAGTGTGGAGTCGATTCTCGATAGTCCTATTTTGTCCTCTTCTACTATTATATTTTGTGCAAGAAAAGAGACAGTAGCTCAGTAACCGAATAAATATCTTTTTCTTCTTTCCTTCGTTAATTAAACTTGAGAGATAACTATAAATCGTAGAATAAATGTAATGTGATTTTCATGATGATCATATATTTCTTATTTGGTTTTCATATAATATTTCAAGCTAAGTAGTTGAAATAATTATCAGAAAAATTTTATTTTTTTCATGAATTTGATTCACTTTTTTTTTTTTCCAATTGATTCAAAATTAATGGTTGTCATTCCAAGGGAGGAATCATAACCAAACCTTCTCTCCATTTTGGTTTAGTTTAGAATTATGAAACTATTAATCGATTTGACATTTGAGTAGTTTATTGAGAAAAGATTAAATATAGAGTCCTAACTCTATAGAAGCAATAAACATTATAATCTTCTTTTTCCCTTTTTCTGTTAATTAAAGAAAGTTTCTATAGCTGTCCCGATTGTCCCGTGCATTGTTTTAGCTGCTTTGTAATGCGAGGAGGGGGTAAAATGTCTTGGTTTTCTAGCATATATATATTTTTTTATTTTTGTTTTAAAATATATTTCTTTTTATTTAAATATAGATAAAAATAATATAAATACTTTTTTTAAAATCTTTTTTATGTCCTAAAATAATTTTTATTTTTCTTAATCGATTTAATCCGTTGAATTGAGATGTGTCGTATAACAACGTATACATTTCTATTCAGTTCCACAACCTTCCAGGAGCAGCGAAATCATATTTTAATTTCTTTAAACTATTCCATCAATTAATCATTTATTAAAACATTAGAATGAACGGACTTATCATTTGAAACAGTGTTTATGTTTTTCTATTTTTATTTATCAATTTGAACTCAGAATCATCGGTTTCAGTTCTTGTCTCCGATTTAAATCTGACTATAATCGGATTACACTGCACAAAACAGCACTATTGGAAAACAAAACTGAGATCTACATAAAATATTTAGAACACCAAACACATATATACATCCTCACGACCTAAGTTTGCAGCTTAGAGATGCCGGAAAAGCAAGACTATCGGTATATACACATATATACACATAAGCTTAAGCTTTTATTCTACTGATACAAGGGAAACGCAAACCTGAATGGCTAGTAACTACATCTGATGCATTGAGATCTCCATCCTCACTACGGCAGCCAAGAAGTCCACAGCTTGCAGCGGGCTGAGCACTGCTACGACCCTTCTTAGCACTTTCATTCGCAAGGAATCAGCCACCACACCCACCGTCCACTGCCTTGCCAGCATCCTCTCGATCGCTGCCTTCTCGGCAGCCGCCACCGCCGCTACCGCAGCCCTCCCTGCCATCATCAACCCCACTACCCCCTCGATCTGCACCCTCCTCATCTCCTCCTCCACCACGGCCACCTCCGCTCTCGTAACCTGACGAATCGCCTCCAACGCCCACGCCTGCTCCGCCGACAGAATTCCCGCGGGCACCAGCCGCAACGCCGCCGTCGGCCGCCAGCCTCCCATCCACAGCAAGGCCCTGGCCAGCACGCTCAACCAGGGCGGATAGAGCACGAAGGCCGGGTCGCGTAGCGCCAGGATCGACTTGATCAGGAAGTAGGAGGCGTGGTGGTCGATGACCTCGGCCACGAGGGCCCGGTGCTCGGCCTCGTGGACGGGCTCCCGTGGCACGTCCACAAGCCCGTCAAGGACGCACTGCATGAGCTGAAGCCATATCCAAGGGAACACTTGGAAGGCCACTTCTTCTGAGCTGCCGGCTTCGGTAGTCGTCATATACGACGATGTGCTAGCGTTGCTTCGCCGCCGACTGCTACTTAGCTGAGCGCCACTGCTCCTGTGCGTATGTATTTATCGTCGAGGGGCGGCGGGTTGCATGGGTTGGTGAAAGAGGGGAAGGCAACGCGTGGAGATGGCTCTTCAGAGGCGGGAGTCGTCGCATGAGGCCCTCGCATGGCGGGTGGGAAGGTGACACTGGTTTGGCACGTGGGGCCAAGGTGGCATGTAGGGGCAGTTTATGTGGCCTATGGTGCAGTTTAGCTGGCATGTGAAGCCCTTTGAACTCCCTGTCTCTGGCTTATTCCTGAGCTAAAATATCTCTCTGCCGTTGGTAAAGATCATTACAGGGGACAAAAGATAAAGTTAGATTTAAAATTTGAAGAAAAATCTTTTATTTTTTATTTTTTGTCTTTTAGTAATTAGCACATAAACTCTGTGATTTTTATTCCATCCCTCTCAATTGTATCATAACCTTACTTATTCCTCGCCAAGCAAAAGAGAAGAACGAGGGAAAGAAGCATGTAGCTCGAGGAAAGGAAGGTTGAGTGAGACGAGAACCGCGACGGTGGTGGCGCCTCGGAGGAGGCATCGCTGGAGCACCGGGAGATCCGACCGAGCTCGGGGCTCGAACGACGCCGGGCGCCAGAACTCCCGGAGGATCTCGCGATCCGAGGCTTGACGTTGAAGCTGCGGCTCCGGAGCTCGAGGCTGCCGTCGTCCTCGCCACTTCCTCGAAGTCTCTCTCTCTCTCGTTCGCTCGCTCGCCAGTCTACGAGATGAGAAGGGCGCCGTCAAGTCCGTCTCACGTCGGAGTGTCACGTGGCAACGGCGTGGAAGGAGTCTGCTCCCCGGGGCCTACGGGACCCGCTTCGCAAGGGAGAAACAGTGGATGAAATAAGCGGGCCGCTGTCGAAGGTGTTCAAGTAGAACACTGGCGTGGCCGCAGCTCATGCATGAGCTGAAATCCCAGAGTAGAACGACACAGGCACAACGGGAACGGGTCTCTCTTTATCGTCGAGGGACGAAGGGCCACCGGAACATGGGTTTGGTCTGCCTTCGTGTCCCGGAGACCCACCGGAAATGCTCCGCTTGTGCTCCTGATGTCCATGGCCTCCCTTCTAAGCGTCAATCAGTTCTTCTAACTCTTTGATGGGTTCTTCATCTAAGCTTCGGCAACAATTTTAAGTTTGAGTTTATGAGATTTCTGCCAGATGCATTGTAACTGTTTGATGATCATGCTTAAAGGGACCTTAGAAGTTTGACTGGACTACAACATCGGAAGACACGGACAGGATGCTGGCTGACGATATGTACAGGAAATCTGATGATAAACCAGAGAACATGGCAATATAGTTTATCTTCATTTCATGTGAATTGCAACCACATGTACTTTTTCATCTCAATCGTAAAGTTCGAATAGATTAACTGCTGCTGCCAAGTAGGTTTGTGGAGTGATAGAAACATGCCTGGTCTGCATGCTGATTTGAACTTGATCTAAGCAAGCCATGGACACGCACCTGTTGATAACAACATCATTGCTAACATATATTGCTTTTGATAATATAAGAACACTGACGATTGATGTACTGAAATTACACTGTACAGAACAGCATTATCGGCGAACAACTATGGTCTGATACAAGCTATACAGGTAATATGTTTAGAACGCTTATGTATCCTCACAAACTTAGTTTTCGGTTTAGTGATACTGGAAAAGCAAGTCTACATGTATTGATACAAGCTAAACGCAAAACCAAAGGACTGATAACTACATCTGATGCATTGAGATCTCCATCCTCACTACGGCAGCCAAGAAGTCCACAGCTTGTAGCGGGCTGAGCACTGCTACCACCCTTCTCAGCACTTCCATTCTCAAGGAATCAGCCACGACCGCCACCGTCCACTGTCTTGCCACCATCCTCCCAATCGCTGCTTTCTCAGCCGCCGCCACCGCGGCCGCCGAGACCGCAGCCCTCCCCGCCATCATTAACCGCACCAACCCGTCGTTCTGCACCCTCCTCATCTCATTCTCTACGGCCGCCACCGCCGCTCTCGTCACCGCACGAATCACCTCCAACGACGACGACTGCTCGGCCGACAGGGACCCCGCGGGCACCAGCCGCAACGCCGCCGTCGGCTGCCAGCCTCCCAACCACAGCAACGCCTTGGCCATCAGGCTCAACCGGGGCGGACAGAGCGCGACGGCCGGGTCGCGCAGCGCCAGAATCGACTTGGCAAAGAAGTAGGAGACGTGGTGGTCCATGGCCTCCGCGACGTAGGCGCGATGCTCGGCCTCGTGGACTGGCTCCCGTGGCACGTTCACAAGCCGGTCAAGGACGGACTGCATGAGCTGAAGCCATGTCCGGAGGATCACTTGGATGGCTGCCACTTCTGTACCGAAGGCTCCGGTCCTCGTCATATATGCCGAAGTGCCGGTGCCGATTGGTACTTATCCGAGTCACGATTCTGTGCGTGTATCTATATGTAGCGGAGACGAGGCGGTTTGCATGGCTTCGTGGGAGAGGAGAAGGCAACGCGTGGAGATGGCACGTCGAATTCGGAGGCGTACTCACCTTGGCGAGGTGGGTAGGCGGGCGACACTAGCTTGACACGCGGGGATCAAGGCAGTACGTGGGGGCCAAGATGGCATGTGGGGTCCTTTAAACTGCCCTTATTGCTTTGCTAAAATATCTCTCTTGTTGGTAAAGATCATTGGAACATAGTAATGTTAAAATTTAATGGGAATTCTTATTTTTTTTTGTATTTTAGTAATTATCCATGGTTTCCATTTTATTCACCTAAGTTGAAATGTAACCTACATATTTCGTTAAAATTCAGCAATTTTTAGCGATTAATTGAAATTTTGATGTAATAATTTTTTTAATTAATGATACAAAAATTAGTATTATTAAAGGGACAGATATGTAATTTTGCCTTTGAAAAACGAGTGCAATTTTCTCGAGGGAACTCGAGATTTGAGAAGATCAATTTGAAATAACGATCCGTTATATATACCCGTTATTGTGAAATATCGATTCCTATTGTAACGCTCGTTATATAGTAGAATAACGGGGATAACGTTGAGGTCTCCCTCCAACCGTGGCTGCGTTCACCGTGGCCCTCCAAGATACAAGAATGCTGTGGTCCGCGCCATCTTCCTCTTCTTCTTCGTCCTCGTCGGTATCGTCTTTTAGGGCTTGGGAATCCCTCTCTTTCCCCTGCTCTAAACCCCATTCAGCATTTCCGAAGCCCAATATCATCTTCTTGAACCCTAATCCCGAACGCTTCTCCGTCTTATCCTCCTCTTCTCCTCATCCTCCTTCTCCGCTCGTTGCTAGCACTACTCTTCCTTCGTCGACCGCTCCGGTATTGAAGAAGCGGAAGAGGTACCGCAAACCCTACCCCGGGGAGAGCGAGGGCATCGTTCAGGAGATGAGGTTCGTCGCCATGAGGCTTCGCAACGACGCTGGCAGCGGAGAAGAGAAAGAGGAGGAGCAGGCCGGCGGCGGTTGGGAGACATGGCAGCCGAGGATGGAAGGCTTCCTCAAGTATTTGGTCGACAGCAAGCTGGTGTTCGAGACTATCGAGCGTATTGTGGACGAGTCCACCGATGTCGCCCGTAAGAACTCCCGTTCTCCTCTTCTTGCTCTTCTTTTATTTCCCCTGCCAAAATTGAAAATGCTCACTGGCGAACTGTTCATTACTGATAATTTCTTTATCTTAAAACTTCTGGTTCTATTGTAGCTTGTGCTAAAATCTTTAATTTCTTGGGGAAAATAGGACTCATGATATTTTCTTTCAAGAAGAGATCCTCACTGGTCACCGCTTGAATTGGTGGGAGTTTCTTGGGTTATCTTCCCGGATTCCTCATCACGTTTGGAGAGAGAGAGAGAGAAAAAAGGTTAGTGGGGAATTGATGGGTCGTAAATAAATTCTCTTCCTGAGCAGGAGATCTAATGCATAGATTCCCATGAAGAACTATGGGGAGATACAAGATGGGATGAAAGAACATTTCTGAGCCCACCGAGGAGGAGAGGTTTCCTTTTTATGCAGACAATACCTTCAAATCTTGATCAGGACAAACTAAGATACTTAATTGTTAAGCTACCAGAATCAAGAATCGCTAGTATGATTGCTTCTAAATGATTCATCCTTCTGGTTTTTTGTTGCTTATATTTTGATTTAAATGAGTTCATCTCTGTGCATCTTTATCTACGTGTTCATATTTCTTCCCGGAAGTTGATGGAAACAAATTATGGTCCACAGGTTTGATTCTAGGTAGAATTTCTAGTTTTTTTTTACTTGAGTTTGTGTTCTGGATAGCATAACTCATCTAATTTGTAAAGAAGGTTGTGGCCACAAGTTAGATTTAGCTGCAAACTACTGTGTTATTTATCCTCTAAAATTTACAGAGTTAGACATTTGGGTAATTGAATCTAATTGTAGTATCACAACAGAAAAGGTGCACACAACTTGGATCGATGAGTTAATGAAGTTATGCACTGGAAAAAGAAGTTTCTTATTGCTGTAATTTCACTTGTGAGAATGTGTTGCTGAATGTCAATCTTCCTGAAGTCCAGAAGTTAAAACCAAGTGATAGTATAAGGAATTTTGATAAAATGGCTTTTGAGTTTATATTTCCTAGGTATTATGGCAGTATTTTGATGCAGTGTCATGCTTATAGTTCTGATGTGCCAGGAGCAACTTAGATGGTAAGAGTTGTTATAATACTAGATTATGATCATCAGGGAGCATTTTTTTTAGGCACCAAAAGCTAAATGATTCTGCGTTTACTTGATGTATCATCAGTAAGTATGGACCAACCTAGATTTTAGAAAGAACAGTTATCAATTTTTTTAAATTATGTATTTGCAGTTGCAGATGTTTGTTGGGACTTACGGTTTTGTTATTGTTGTATTTGCAGATGTTTATTTCAGAAATACTGGTCTTGAGCGGGCTGCTAGGCTTTCAAAAGACTTAGAGTGGTTCAGTCAAAGAGATATTATGATTCCAAAACCAAGTAATCCTGGGACTTCATATGCTACTTATCTGAATGAATTGGCTGAGAAAAGTGTGCCATCATTTCTGTGCCATTTCTACAACATTTACTTTGCACACATAACAGGTGGACAGAAGATAGGTAAAAAGGTAATCTAGCAAACCATTTTTATCCTGTATGTTGCTACTTGATTAGAATAGTTGATAAGCCATTTGATGATTTCATTAACATGTTCTTTGGTTGTGTTGTACAAACTTGGAGCTAATAGAAAATATATCTAATTTGTGTGTCTTTTGACTTTATAGGTTGGATTGGTGGATCTTGCTTTACCTTTAAATTTCTCATTGGCACTGTTATTCTGTTTCACTTTATGGTCTGACTGAAATATAGAACAATGCATTAGTTTCTGTCAAATGTCAATCTTGGTGTCAACTTTTTCCTGACTACCACATGCATACTCACTTTCCTACTTATGTCTACAGAATAAAGTCAGTAATGTACTTTTATGCAACTCACTTTTAAAAATTTAGTCGTCAATGATCCAAAATTAGCATAATTACACTTATTCATTACCATTAGTTGAGAGTACTTAAATTTTTGAAATGAAATGATCAATGTCAATGGTACGAGGAGAGATAGAGGAAGATCCAAGGAGACTTTAATAGAAATTATAAATAAAAATTTAAGTATTTCGGATTTAAATAAGCATGTGACTTTTTACAAATCTCCATGGCGGCAAAAGATTCATTTAGCCGATCCCAAATAGTTGGGACTTACGGTTTTATTGTTGTTGTATTATTTTTTAGGCCCTCTCTCTCTCTCTCTCTCTCTCTCTCTCTCTCTCTCTCTCT